TCCCACAACTGGGCACAGGCTGGGTACAGGCATCTCAATACCCAGCACCAGGCTGGGTACAGGCATCTCAATATCAACCACCCCCACCAGGCATCCTGGTGCCAGGCACTTCCATTAAGATGGGCATCACCATTTGGGGCAGCTGCACCATTCCTGGGCCTCTGGGCACCAGGAACTGCCACCAAACAGTGGACATGCCTGGACTGGGCACCCACATCAGGCACTGGCAGCCCCATACAGAATATCTGGCACCACGCATCCCTGTATTGGGTACCTGCACCGGCTATTCCAGCACTGGGTACCCACACTGGCCACTGGGCATCCCGGTACTGGATACCCACACTGGTGCCCATACTGGGCATCCCAGTACCAGGCACTGAGCACACCGTGCTGGCCAGCCCACATGGACTACAGGCACAGCAGCACCGGCCAGGACGTGGCACAGTGCTATGTCCCATGGGCACAGCATGAGCAGACAGCTGACACTGTCACCATGTGCCAGCCCTTGTCCCACCAGTGCCCTGATCCTGGCAGCCAGGCTGTGCACAGTGGTGACCCTGCTCCTGTCTCTGTCCCCAGACTGCAGCTTCATCTGCCACTACCGCTGCCGGGCCCTGGTGCAGCTGGACTGTGCAGGCCCCCCAGGTGCTGGTGACGAGGACGATGGCAATGAGCACGTGTTGGAGAAGGACACCAACGTGGTACGGCCTGGGGCTGCCTGTGAGGGAGGGCTTGGGCAGGGGGTGGCACACCTGGGGGCTGTGCTGGGCTGGGGAGGGCTAAGCTGGGCTGTGCCATGTGAGGCCATGTCATGGCATGCCAGCCTATGTCATGGCATGCCAGCCTGTGCCATGGCATGCCAGCCTGTGCCTTGCTAGCCTGTGCCATGCCAGCCTGTGCCAAGCCTTGCTGCGCTGGGCTCGGCTGGGCTGAGCTGAGCGAGGTTGACATGCCAGGCTGTGCTATGCCATGCCAGGCTGCACCATGCCAGGCTATTCTGTGCCATGCTGGGCCGTGCCAAGCCCTTGATGGGCTGAGCTGAGGTCGTGCCATGTCGTGCCGTGCCATGTCGGGCTGTGCTGTGCCAAGCCGGGCTGCGCTGTGTCGTGCCTGTGCCACCCTGCCCGCATCACACCGCACCGTGCCCGAGCCGAGCTCAGCCGGGGCAGAGCCATGTCCGGGCGGGCGAGGGTGAAGTCACCGCCGGAAGCGGGGCCGCCGCGCCGCCCCCGGCCCCGCGTCACCCCACGGCCGGGGCGGGGCAGCGGCGGGACCGCGCTGAGCCGGGAGCGGGGCAGGGCGCGGTAGACGCTGCGCCGAACCGAGCCGGGGCGGGAGCGCGATAGGGACCGGGCTGAGCCGAGCCGGGAGCGGGAGCGCGATAGACACCGGGCTGAGCCGAGCGGGACGGCGATAGGGACCGGGCGAAGCTGAGCCGGGACTGAGAGTGGGACTGGGCGGAGCCGAGTCGGGATTGAGACCGGGACCGGGCAGAGCCAAGTTGGGACTGAAACCGGGACCGGGCGGAACCCAGCCGCAATAGGGACCGAGCGGAGCCGAGCCGGGCCGAGGGCCGGGCTGAGCGGAGCCGGGTCGAGGGCCGGGAGCGGGCTGAGCCGAGCCGGGAGCGGAGCGAGCCGGGCCCCGGCCCGGGGGCCGGTCGGGCTGGCGCGGGGCCGGGTGTGCCCGTGTGCTCGCCGCCCCGGCGGGGCTGCGGGGCGGCCGGGCCGGGCCGTGCCCTCCGCCACCGCCGCCGTGCCCCCCGCGGCCGGGCCGGGGTCCGGCGGGCCCGGGGGCTGCGGGGCGGCGGCGCTGGCTCTGCGGCGGGGCGGCGCGGGGGGCACGGGGGGCAGCACGGCCAGCAGCGGCTACTGCAGCCAGGAGGACTCCGACTCCGAGCCCGAGCTCTTCTACACCGCCCGCACCTCCCTGGGCCGCCGCCCGCGCCGCCGCCAGGTCGGTCCTGGGCCGTGACGTAATGGGGGGCACGGGTGACGTCATCGGGGCGCATTCCCCCGGCTGGGTGCTGGGGAGCAGGCGAGGGTGGGCTGAGTGCGTGGGGAGAACCAGAGGTGCTGGGGGTCTTTTCTTGGGGGTGAGCTTGGCCCTGCTGTGGGGCAAGAGCGGTGTGAAGCATGGCCGTGCCGGCCCTGTCCGGTTGGATGTGGGGCGAGCGAGGCACCGTGGGGCGAGTGGAGTTTCGCTGCCTGGCACGGGCACCCTAAGGTCCCTCAGGGCCGGAGCTGCTCCCGGCTTTGGGGGTGCCGGGACAAACTCCCCGGGCAGCTCCACAGCTGTCCCCGTCCTGCAGGGGCCCTGGCGGGGTCCGGCAGTGCCCGCATGCTGTGGGGTGGCTGTCGGGGCTGGGAACCATCTCAGTACCGCGGGGACACGTGCAGCGCTGTGTGGCAGTTCCGCGGCCCCGCATAAATAAACACTCATTAGCGGGTGCCGGTGGCGGGGACGCCGAGCCGGGACGCTCGGTGCCCCTTGTGTGGGGCCAGCGCTTTGAAGTGGGGTGCCGGCGGCAAGGGCGGGCTGCACCCCCAGCCCGGCCCTCCTGCCTCAAATCTCAGGGCGTCCCCGCGGGCCTGCCCAGACGCCCTGGTGCCGGGCTGGCGGCTGCTCTGCCTTGGGGACGCCTCTCTGATCTGGGCTGCCGGGAGCGGCCGCTCGGCTCCGGGTGCCCTCGCAGGGCGTTCTCACAGCCCTGCAGCCCCGGGGACGGGCGGCCGGTGCCGGTGTCCCCGGAGCAGGGCTGGGGCCGCACTGAGCTCAGCTGAGCGTCCCCGGCACAGCCCAGCTCCGCCAGGCGGGCTGATGCAACCCCGCGCAACCGCCCGCGCCTCTGCCGGTGCTTCGGGGCGGGCTGCGGGCCGGCGCGACACCGAGCCAGGCGGGACGGCCCCCCCCGGTCTCTGTGCCGCTCAGCCCGGCTGTTGTCACGCAGGATGAGCCCAGCGAGTGGGAGAAGACAGAGCTGGACCAGGCGCAGGTGGAGCAGCGGATCAAGGAGTACAACAGCCAAATCAACAGCAACCTCTTCATGAGCCTGGTACGGGGTCGGCACAGGGCAGGGGGGGGTCACGGTGCCCTGCCCTGACCCCACTCACCCCCGATCGGTGTCTCGTAGAACAAGGACGGCTCCTACACGGGCTTCATCAAGGTGCAGCTGAAGCTGGTTCGCCCTGTCTCGGTGCCGGCCACCAAGCGGGTCCCCTCCCTGCAGGCGGGGCGGCCACACCCCCAGGGGGTGAAGCGCCGCACGTCCTTCTACCTGCCCAAGGGGACCGTCAAGCACCTGCACATCCTCTCGCACACCCGCGCCAGCGAGGTCATCGACGCGCTGCTCCGCAAGTTCACCGTCATCGACAACCCCCGCAAGTTCGCCCTCTTCGAGCGGTCTGAGAAAGATGAGCAAGGTAGTGCCCAGGGTCACCCTGCCCTCACAGTGCTGGCCGTGTCCCCTTACTGACAGCTTGCCCTGGGTGGTGGCAGTTCCATGGTGGTGATGTCCCCAGGGTCCCTCATGGTGCTGGCAGCATACCCATGGCATTGGTGTCCCCATAGTGCTGGTGTTCCCCATGGTGGCAATATCACGGCAGTGGTGCCCCGATAGTGACAGCTTTCCTTAGGCAGCAGCACCCCCTTTGGTGGCGGCATCCCTGTAGCAGTGGTATCCCCCTTTGGTGACAATGTCCCCTGTCACCATGGATGCGTCCCCATTGCAGCAGTGGTGTCCCCTGTGGGGGTGATGTCCCCATAGCAGCAGCATCCCCGTAGCAGCAGCGATGTCCCCGTAGCGGCGGTGTCCCCGCGGTGACTCGTGGCCCCGTTGCAGTGTACCTGCGGAAGCTGGGTGACGACGAGCAGCCCCTGCGTCTGCGGCTGCTGGCCGGCCCCAGCGAGAAGGTGCTGAGCTTCATCCTGAAGGAGAACGAGACCGGCGAGGTGAACGTGAGTGCGGGGACGGGGAGGGGGCTGGCCCCGCATTGCCCGGGGCGGTGTCCATAGCGGGACGCCGCGGGTGCCCGTGGCCATGGCAGCCCTTGTGCTTGCAGTGGGACGCCTTCTCGCTGCCGGAGCTGCACAACTTCCTGCTGATCCTGCAGCGGGAGGAGGAGGAGCACGTGCGGCGGCTGCGGCACCGCTACGCGCGCTGCCGCCAGAAGATGCAGGAGGCGCTGGCCGCGCTGACGCCGGGGTGACCGCGGGGCGCGCAGCCGAGGCCAGCCAGAGCACCGGGACCCTCGCCCGCCGGCCGTGGGGGCAGCAGGGAGGGGGGTGGAACGGGCACCACCGACCCACCGCGCTGTCACAGCCCCCACGGGGCTGGCACAGAGAGTGAGGGTTCCCGGTGGGAGCGAGAGCGAGTGTCACCCGGGAGCGTGTGTCCCCAGGGAGCGTGTGTCCTGGGGGGAACGAGTGTACCCTGGGGGATTGGGTGTCCCCAGGGGAATGGGTGTCCCTAAGAGAGCGTGTGTCACCTGGGGGATTGCGTGTCCCCAGAAGAGTGGGTGTCCCGAAGGGAGCGTGTGTTTTGCGGGAAGCAAGTGTCACCTGGGGGATTAGGTGTCCCCAGGGGAGTGGGTGATATGGGGGAGCGAGTGTCCCCGGAGAAGTGAGTGTCCCTGGGAAGAAGCAGGGCATCGAGCACCAATAAAGGCATCTTGGTGACGAGGCCTGGCCCGCAGTGTTGTCCTTGGCGGGGCGTGCTGGGTGGGAAGGGACGGGACGGGACGCGCAGTTCCAGCGGTGTCGGCGGGCCATGGGTGCCCGCACATGGTGCGGGTGGCGGCGGCGGGATTCGAACCCGCGGTTCCTGCGCAGCCGGCGCCGGGCGGGGAGGCGGGCGCGCCCCGCGCCGGTGTCACGTGACGCGGGCGCCGGAAGTGGCGCGGGCGGCGGCGCAGGCGGCGCTCGGTCGGTGTCGCCGGGCGGCTCCGGGCCGCCCCCGTCCCTCCCCCCGCGGCCCCGCTCCTGCCGCCGCCGCCCCCGCCATGGGCGCCAGCGGCTCCAAGTCGCGGGGGCTGTGGCCCTTCGCCACCCCGGCGGCGGGCGGCGGCGGCCCCGAGGGCCCCGGCGGGCAGCAGGCCCTGGCCCGGGCGCGGGCCGCGCGCGCCGCCACCCCCTTCGTGTTCACACGGCGCGGGTGAGAGGCGGGCGGGGAGTGGGGGGCTCTGGCATAGGGCGGGGGCTCTGCCGTGGGGCTGGGGCTCTGCCGTGGGGCTGGGGCTCTACTGCGGGGCAGGGAGGCTCTGCCGTGGAGCGGGGGGCTCTGCCGTGGGGTTGGGGGCTCTGCTGCGGGGCAGGGAGGCTCTGCCGTGGGCTGGGGGCTCTGCCGTGGGCCGGCCCCAGTCCCCGGCCCGGCTTGGGGCGCCGGGAGCCGGCAGGACCCGCAGGCTCTCACCCCACGCCTCTCCTCTTGGCAGCTCCATGTATTACGATGAAGACGGGGATCTTGCCCACGAGTTCTACGAGGAGACAATCGTCACCAAGAACGGGAGGAAGCGCGCCAAGCTGAAGAGGATCCACAAGAACCTGATACCTCAGGTAACGTGCGGAGAAGGATGGGAGAAAGGATGGGGCAAAGTGCCAGGGTGACACTTGAAGTCCAGCCTTTACAAGAACCATTTCCCTCGGGGCATCTTCTTACTGACAAGGTGGAGGCTCTCTCCTCCTCCCCAGTTTCTGCCTCAGAGCCATGATTCCTGTGCGTCCTGGCTCACACCCGAGTCACCTGAGGCTGTGATAAGGAAGGGAGAGCTGGTGGCACCCTCCAGCTGCCTTTTTTTGAGAGAAGCAGTGCCTGAGCCTTTCAGAACTGCCTGGCAGGGGAAGATAGCTCAGCCAGATGTATGTTGTGGGGCACAGAGTTCCAGGCAATCCTGCATGGCTGTCTCCTTACCAAGCACCTTCCACAAACTGTAGGGTGCTATGCTGCCTCAGCCAGTGTCATGTCACTGTGCAGGGCCAGACTTGTGTTGGGGAGCAGAAGCCAGGGCCCATCAGCTGCTGACATGAGTTTGCGCATCCCCTCCAGCTGCTCAGCAGTGTTGACAGCTTTCTGCTTTGCTCTTCAGTGGAAAAGTCTCCTCTCTAAATAAGCAAGTGGTGTGAAGCTGGGCAGGGGCTGGGATGTCAATGAGGATCGTGGTGCAGGGGCAGGAGAGCCTGCATGTAGGGAATCTTTTGGGGGCTTAAATGGAGAAAAGAGCAGATCAAACCAGGGCTGGAGAGAGCCTCTATAGAAGTCTTCCCTAATTAAGCAGAAAGATATGGCTGTAATGAGCAGCTGGGGTGAGCTGTGAGGAGTGGGCAGCCTCTCAGCTAGATGGAACCCCTCTGAGTGCTGAGCAGGCAGTTGTGGATGGAAGGATTTGGTGCTGCTCCCTGGGCTGGCATTCTAGCAGCGGCAGGCTTGGCGTGTGGAACTGAGTCCTCGTTCATGTGGGTCGAAACTCACCCAGTTGGGAAGCTCAGCTGAGCTGGAGAGAGCAGGTATCAGTGAGCAGTACTTTTCTAACACAACTTTACTCTGGTTCTGCGGGGCCAGGCCCAGCCCTGAGCCCCTGCTCCCCCTCTGCCCCAGCCCCCAGCTGGTGCTGTAACAGGAGAAGGCAGGGATGGGGCATGGGAAGGGTTCCTGTGGCTCTGTGGAGGGAGTTGCATTCAGCAGCCTCCCCCCTGCACAGAAAGCCGCTTTTCTGTGCGCCAGCTGCCCCGGCTGCGTTCCCTCAGAGAGCTCTTTTCATTGCTCTAAATCCCGTGAATGAAAGGTGCCGCATGAAAAGCCCAGACAGCCAAGATCTGCCAGTCACGCAGCAGCTGCTGCACGGGCAGTGCCTGGCAGAGCAGCTCCCTCCTTCCTCGCCCTGCCGTGTGTGGCAGCCAGCCCTGCCGCCCTCGGCCCTCCAGGGAGCAGAGCGAAGGGCAAAGGGCTGCTGCTCTGTGTGCTGCTGCCCAGGCATACCTGGAGTCATTTATTGAGCCATTTATGGAGCCTGGTCCCTCCAGTTCCTCCAGGGCACTGTGTTCTCTGTCACTGGGTGACTGGCAGGGCTGAGGGATGTTGATTGGCCATCCCTTCTGCTCACCACTCTGACTCTCCTTTCAGGGCATAGTGAAACTAGAGCATCCTCGCATTCACGTGGATTTCCCAGTGATTATCTGCGAGGTGTGAGTCCCAGACATCGCTGCCCGTGGATGGGAGGCCCTGCCCCACCACCTCCAACCTCACTGGGGCAGGCTGCATCGTGTTCCCACCGAGGAGGACTCCAGCCGTGTGGCAGGATGGTGGCTCTCCCCTCGCCTGGAGGTGAGGCAGGACGGAGCAGGCCTTCGCAGGAGATGGGTGACTCTGTGCAATGACTGCTTAAAAACATCCTCGCTTGAGTCAGAAGACTAAAATACCTTTTGTAGCCTCTAGCCGACGTTTGATGGGTAACTGGAACTGCAAACAAGCTGCTGTGATTGAGCTGTGAAAGGGAGAGCAAGCCTGCACTTCTCACCAGAGAGAATCCCCTGCTTCTCAGGTATGCGGCCCAGGGAGAGCCAGGGCACGGCACCCCGAGGTCCCTGGGGCCCGCAGCTCAGATGGCCAGTGTTGCAGCATGTCCCTTTGACACCGGTGTGATGTGATGCTCCCCTGCGTGGGTTTGTTGATGGAGGATAAGCAGAGCAGGCTGAGGGGTCTCAAAGCACATTGGGCTGGCTGCTGCTCTCCTCTCGGGAAGGGGATGGAGAGCAGATGCCGCTCTCTTAGACCTCGGTCTCTTCCCCCACTGTGTTTCCTCACTATGCCAGTGCTGGGGAGGTTGGCTTTACTGCTGCCTGCTGGAGATCTCTGCAGTCCCTGGCCCCTGCTGGTGGCAGCAAGGTCCCAGCTCCGCAGCGGACTTGCCTCCCCCATTGTCACACTGGCTCTGCTGAGCGCCTCCCTCGCCTGCCGCGGGGCTGGGCTGCCGGGCAGCTTCCTCACCCCTGCTGCTCCTTGAACATACCTCCCTGTAGGCTGGGCCTCGACTGAGCCAAGCAGGAAAGGAATCCTGTCTTCTTCCCTGTGCCCCCGAAACAATCAATTGGTGTACCTGCCCCGGCTTGGAAATCTCCCTGGCGATGTGAACTGTGGTTCCTCCCGCATCCCAGCTGGCGGCAGGAGGAGAAATGCGATGCACTTTAAAGGGAGGCTTGCTGCCCCACCTCGGAGGGCCCTGCTCTTTTCTCCTCTTTCCTCCCACCTAAGAAGGTCGAGGTCTTGGCGGCACGAAGAACCTCTCACCCCTGTGTGTGTCCAGCTGCTGGGGGAAAGGCCTGACCCCAAATGCCCCTTGGCAGCACGAGGAGCCCCTGCCTCCCTGCTCAGCTGTGCCCAGACCGGGCAGGCAGAGGAGGACCGGCAGCAGGCACAGCTTTAAAGTGGGTCAGAGCCTACTCCCCACAGCAGCCAGCTCGGCTTTCCTCCTCTTTCGTTCCAGAACTTATTTACTTTCTAAGCACTTCAGATGTTTGCTACCTCGATTTTTAATTTAAGCTGCTGGCACTTGGCTGCCAGCCCTGTCGGTGTCTACGTTGGATGTATCCATCCCCGCGTCCGCCCAGAGCCGCCCGGGCGCGGGGCCGCATTCCCAGCTCCGGGGAGATAACAGCGACGTGGCTGTTGCTGGCTTCCTGTCACCACCTCTTCCCTTCACGTCCCTCCACCCGCGGTTCCCATCGACAGGAGCGAGCTCACGGGGTGAAATGGATGTGCTGGCTGCCACCAGGCAGGAAAGTGGAAGGGCAGGGCTCATCTACACTGTGATGCTGGGCGCTTCTTTCGACATCTTTTGTTCTGCTTGCTTGGAAGAGTCTTGTCTTAAAACAATCCCTCACTGAAGTGTTTCTTATTTGCACCACCTGCTCTTGAGTTTCTCCCTGGCTGGAGCTCCCTGGGAAGGGCATCCCTTGGGCTCCACAGGAGAGCAGGAGCTGCTGTCCCCAGGAAGAGGAGAGAAAACCGTGGCCACGCTGTCTGTGCTGCCTTGCCCCACTGCTGTGTTAGGGCACGGGAAGCTGCACCGACCCCACCTTGGGCATGGGGGAAGGAGGAGGAGGAGGAGGAGTGGGAAGGGGGTTGGCACTGTTTGCCTACCCCAGTGGGGAGTCCCTCACCTGGCTACCAGCCAAAAATCTGCTGGCAGGGCATGGCCCTAACCCAGGGGAGGGGGCAGAGACTGTGACCAGCTTAGCAAGGATGCTTTTGTCCTTTCTGACAGGCTGCCTGTCCTTCCCCCAGCGTATTAAACATGCTTCCCCAAAACCCATGCCTTCTCCCACTCTTCTACCCCCTCAGTGTTACCAGAGTGGCAGTGAACCTCTGCAGGCTGCCAACAAGCTGCATCCTGCCCCGCTTCTTCCCAGGCTGGTCCCCACAGCAGCCAGCCCCCAGGACCCAGCAATCCTGCAGCAGCAGGGCCTTGGGAGCACCTGGAGGGATCTTAAAAATGTGAAGGTCACTGTAAATAGTATCTGTGTCCACTGTGGTGTTGGAGCAAGCAAAAAAAAAAAAAAAAAAGAAGAAAGTTTTCCTTTTTATTCTTTTTTTTTTTTTTTTTTTTACAATTTCTGTGCAACATTGTGCTTTCCCGTGTGGATGTGTAGCCGAATCGTACTCACCGACACTAGGCTCCTTGCTCCTCTAGCGTGTGGGTAGGACCCATGGGTTTGGGAAATGTACACTACTTATGGTCCTTCCTCCCAGTGCATCTGTCCACTTTTGTTAAATTTCAATAAAATTATTTGTAGAGCCCACAAGTCCCACAGCTATCTTACTGGGGAAGGCAGATGTACCTGAGGGGAGGTGGGCTTCGAGCCCCCCGTGTTTTTGGGAAGGGGGTGTTTGTGCACATGTGGCTGATGGTGAAGGATTCCTGGGTCACAGCTATTTCCAGGTTCTCCAGTTGGCACACAGGACTGTCAGGAGTTGGTGGTTGTGTCAGGCTGTGACTCTCTACTTGTAGCTGCTGTGACAACTTTTAAATGTATAACTAATGTGAAATATTTGTAATTTCCGTGTTCATTCCCGAGGACTGGAGCTCGGGCCTCTCTCCCCTCCCGTGTGGGGACGAAGGTCGGATGACCCAGGGCTCGCAGCAGCCCAGCTTCAAGCTGACTCTGGCCATGGCTCCGCCCGAGCCCCGCGGGGGGGAGGATCCGCCTGTCCGCTCCGTCCTCGCCTGCCAAATCAGTGCCTCATTAATCACGGGGGCCTGACGTCCTGGAGCCGGCGTGACCCTGTGCCGGGATGCCGCCCGTCCCCCGAGCATTGCCGGCTCTCCGTGGGGCAAGTGTGATCTCACTTTGTTCCCCACGTCCTGTCCCCAACAGCCCTGCAAGTGTTTTCCTGCGGCCATCGTCACTTTTCATCATTTCCTCCATGCAATGATCGGAAATGAGCCGCTGATGAAAGCTGTCATGAGAGTGAGTGGTGCAGTGTGCGGTGCCAGCCCTCCGGCCTCGGGGGGATGAGGCTGTGGCCCGTTCATCCATGGGGACCCCAGCCCCAGGAGGGATGGATGGATGGATCCTGGTCCCTTAGAAGGGGACCGGGTGGCTGAGCAGGGCGGTACAGCCCAGCGAGGTTACACAGCCCAGGCTGTGGCTCTCTGGCTCCGTGGCCATCTCTGTGTCTGCCAGGGCCACCACAGTCCCCTCCTGCTGCCTGTGGGGCAGGGCCATGCCCAGAGCCCCCAGCCCAGGGCAAAGGCAGATGCCAGTCATGTCCCCTTCTGGCCTCACGGCTGCTCCATTCCCAAGCTGACCTCCTCTCATGCCTTGCCCAGACCTGTCTGGCACGAGTGGCTGTGACTCACTCCTGTTATCTTTATCTGCCATCCGTGAGGGATTCCCATCCTCCTGCTGCCTGCCTGGAGCAGCTCGCCTGCTCAGCTTGTGCTGGTCACTGCCCGGTGCAGGCATCCCGCACCCCTCTACACTCTGGGAATGACTTGGAATGATCTCATGCTCGGTAGGGCAAGGGGAGGCTGGATCTGCCCAGCTGCCCCTTCCCAAAAGCAAATCTTCCCTGGGGGAAGGAAGGAGGGAAAGTGAGTCAGGTGATGCTCCCGCTGAGGGGACAGCAGTGAGAATTTGCGTCACATTGAGGACTTGCAGCCCTCCCAGCAGTGGAAACGTGTGACCCCTCTGGCCACCCTGCTGCCGGTGGGGCTGGACACCTTCGCACGAGGAGGATGGAAAGTTTTAGCTGCTGGCCAAGGGAGCCTGTTTACTGCCCAGAGGGGAAGGGCAGCGCCTGCAGCGCTGGGACTGCTTGGCTCCCCACAATCTTTCCCAAGGGTTTTGGCAGCCTCCGCCCAGCCAGCGGCTGAGCTGCCCAGCCCCTCTCCCAGCCGGTGCCTGGCACTGCCTGCAGGCCAGGCCGAGCTGTGGGGTGCAGCCCGGGTTTGGAGGGGCAGGCCTGGATGCAGTGCCCGTCCCTAGCAGGGCTGTCACCGTCTCGGTGGGAGCTTCACCACAAAAGCTGACACCTAAGTGGTGCCGCTAACTGGAGCCAGCTGCGGGTGCCTGCCCCAGGGCTTGGTGAGGCACCCGGAGCTGACACGAACAATGCTGGGCTTGGTGCTCCCGCCTGATCCTTAGGGAGCTGTTGGGTGGCTGGGGAGCACTTCCGTAGATTCAATCCCGCTTCCTTCCCCTGTCGGCCCCGACACACCCTCGCAGTCCGGCGCTTCCTGCGCGGGGCACCCCGATGGCCCTCAGCCCAATGGGGCCAGCCCTGGCCAGGGCAGGCGGGGGACATGGGGACTGCCACATGCCACACGGCTGGTCCCTGAGCCCTGCCTGTCCTGTACCCTGCCAGAGGGGACCGGCTGGAGCCTCAGCAGCTCTTTGGGAAGGAAGCCCCCCCAGTCCTGTTACACTCATGGCCCCCCTTGTCCTCTCCAGGCAGGAAACCCACGGGGCCGTGGCTGAGTCAGCAGCACCGATTGCCCGAGCCCTGCACAGGATGTCCTGTCCGGCACAGCACCGCCCTGGGGTCGCCACCGTCCTGAGGACACTGCCCTGCTGCTGTCACCACCATTGAGGACACCAGCACTCTGGCTTGCCAGCACTCTGGAGCCACCACCATTGTAGGATCACCAGCTTTTTAGGGACAACATGATCCTGGTGTACCATCCTGGGGTGGTATCACCACCATTCCAGAGTCCCCGCTTTGGAGTGATGATGATCCTGGGGTCACCACGGCCCTGGGGTCACCACCAATTACTGTGGTCACTGTGGTTTTGGAGTGACCACGACCCTGAGGATACCACCACCGCCCAGGGGACAGCACCACCCCGCTGGGGCCAGCCCGGTTCCAGGTCACCGAGGTTTGGGGACCCCCAGCCCCCCCGGCCCCCTCAGGCCGCGCTCCCCCCGCCAGCCGTGGCGCCCCCTGCCGGCCCCAACCGCGGCCCCGCCCCGCCCCTTTCCGCCGCGTGGGGGGGCGGGTCCTCCCGGGCCGTACCAATCGCGGCGGGACAGGGGGATGACTCCCCGGTGCCCGGTGCCCGGTACCGCGGCCCCACGGAGGTGTGTGTGTGCGGCGGGGCTCCGCCGCCGTCCGGAGCTCGAGGCCCCGAGACGGTAGGTGCCAGCAGCCCGGCGCGGCGCGGGCGGGGCGCGGGGGCGGGGCCGGCGCCCCCGCGGGTGGTGCGTGCCGGAAGGTTTAAAAGCGGCGGCGGGGGGGCGGCGGCGGTGCTGAGGAGCCCGTGGCGGGGGATGGCCTGAGGCGCGGTGAGAGCCGCGCGGGGAGCGGGAGCCGAGCGGGGCCGCCGGGGGCCGCGCCCCGGCGCTTTGTCTGCCCGGCTCGAACAAAGGCAGCGCCGCGCCGGCACCCGGGAGAGCACGAGCGGGCGAAGCCGCTCGGGACCGGGATTCCCGAGAAGCAGCCCTCACTCGGGGCTCTGCCCGCACCCTCCGGGCGCTCTCTGCCCCGGGAGGGGACTCGGATCGGGGTCTGCTTTGGGGGGTGCGGGCAGATCGGCCCCTGCCTGCACCCCCTCCTGCCGGCCCCCCTTTCTGACTCTGTTCTCCCGCCGCCCCTAGGTCCTGTCGGGCAGGATGCGCGGGGGCTCCGCGGCGGTGGCTGTTCCCTGGCTGGCCCTGCTGGCTTTGGCCCGGCAGCCCCCCGAGAAGCCATCGGCCGCCCCCCATCTCACCCGCCGGCCCTTCCTGGTGGCCTGGAATGTGCCCACCCAGGACTGCAAGCCCCGCTTCCAGGTGTCGTTCGACTTCAGCATCTTCGACCTGGCCGCCTCCCCCAACGAGGGCTTCGTGGGGCAGAACCTCACCATCTTCTACAAGGAACGCCTGGGACTCTACCCCTACTACACCCGTCAAGGTGTGGCCGTCAATGGTGGTGTCCCCCAAAACAGCAGCCTGTCCGAGCACCTCGCCCGCCTCCAGGAGGGCATCGAGAAGTACATCCGCTCAACCACCAAAGAAGGGCTGGCCGTCATCGACTGGGAGGAGTGGCGGCCTGTCTGGGCTCGCAACTGGAAGCCCAAGGATATCTACCGGGAGGCGTCACAGGGACTGGTGGTACAGCGTCATCCCACCTGGCCCCCTGAGAAGGTGAACAAGCAGGCAGCGTTTGAGTTCGAGTCGGCCGCCCAGGAGTTTATGGTCAAAACCCTGCGCAAGGCCAAGAGCTTCCGACCCAAACAGCTCTGGGGGTTCTACCTCTTCCCTGACTGCTACAACCACGACTACAGCAAGAACAAGGAGAGCTACACTGGGCAGTGCCCAGACGTGGAGAAGTCTCGCAATGACCAGCTGAAGTGGCTCTGGAAGGAGAGCATGGCGCTCTACCCCTCCATCTACCTCGACCCACTCCTGGACTCCACTCCCAACAGCCGCAAGTTTGTGCGGGCGCGGGTGATGGAGGCCATGCGCATCTCGCAGAAGCACCACGACGATTACTCCCTGCCTGTCTTCGTCTACACCCGGCCCACCTACGTCCGCAAGCTCAATGTGCTCAGCCAGGTAGGGCTGCACCACTGGGATGTCCTCATTCCAAGCCCTGCACATCTGGGCTTTGGGGTCAGCTGAGGTGCTTCCTCTGCCTGTGTATCGCACCTTGTTCCCATGGAGCAAGGTGGCTCTGGAGGCTCGTGGTGGCACTCATGGTGTTACTGGCACCCCATGGTTTGACTGTTTCCGTGTGGTGGGAAGCAGCACCATTTGGTATGGGGCTGGCAGCTGGCCCCAGGGAGCAGGAGGAGTGCTTCCTCTCCTAGGACCCCCAGCTCAGCCCCTCTCTGGGGTAGATGATGGGGTGCCACAAATTGTTTCCTTTATGGATGGGATGTCTGGCACCAATGGTGATTATCTCCAGGAAAGTGCCTGGGATGTACTGCAGGACTCGGGTCCTGGCAGCTGGAACCCTGAGGTGTGTGAGCCCACAGCCCCTGTGCTGTGCTGGCTTAGCCCCTGAGGAGGAGGGCAGTACTGGGAAGCCTGGCCCCCAAGTTGTTGGGACAGTGCCTTTTCCCTGGAGCGGGGATTGGGTCCCTGATCCTGGAGTGGACGCTTTGGAGCACACTGTGCTGGGGCTGTGGGTGCTGCATGGGCTCTGTGGGTGCTAACCAGACCCTGTCCCCACAGGCAGACCTGATCTCCACCATCGGAGAGAGCGCGGCACTGGGTGCGGCTGGGGCCATTCTGTGGGGTGACGCAGTTGACACCAGAAACCGGGTAAGTTTGGGTCAGTGTGGGAGGTTGATGGGTGGAGGGATCACCTGCCCCAGGGGAGGACCAGTGGCTGAGCTGTCCTCCCCATCTCAGTTGCTTCTCCCTGGGTCTCACCCTGGTGCTTCCCTTTCCCTAGGAGTTGTGTCAGTTAATGAAAAACTACCTGGAGGGGGACCTGGGACGCTACGTTGTCAATGTCACGACAGCAGCAGAGCTGTGCAGCACCACGCTGTGCCAGGGCCGGGGTCGCTGCCTGCGCCAGGACAGCCATGCCGATGTCTTCCTCCACCTCAACTCCTCCAACTTCCAGCTGCGGCGCCGGGATGCTGACCAGCCCGAGCGCCCCCTCTTCTGGGCCGAGGGCCAGCTCTCCTCTGCTGACACACTCTTCCTACGGACCCACTTTCACTGCCACTGCTACCAGGGCTGGCAGGGCAGTGGCTGCCAGACACGTGCTGGCCCCCGCAGTCACGCCCCCGGCCCTTTGGCACCGCTGGGACTTGGGGTGCTGTTGCTGCTTGCAAGCTGGTGCTACCCGCCCCTGGACTGAGCTGCCCTTTTCTCTGGCGGTGTAGGAGGAGCCTATTTAAGATATCCCTACCCTGCCTGGGAGGCAGCTAATTATGGAGGGCTGTCCCTCACTGTGGCGGTGTGGGGGAAGAGCTCTGCGCTTGCCCCATCTTTGCCCACCCTGCTGCAGTGCAGGTGCCCTTCATGGGGATGGGGGGAGGAGGGGGACCCCTCTCCTGTTGTAAGGAGAGGGATGGGGGCAAGAGGGACACGGGGGCGGGGAGCGGGTGCTGCGTGGTGCTGATCCCCCGTGTGCTGCCCCACACTGAAGTGCTTTACCTCGAATAAAGCTGGGTCAGACTGAGAGCTGTGGGCTGCTGTGGGGCGAGGCGGGCACGGGTCTCTCGACTCGCGGACACAAGCGCCGGCACGGGGCGGCGGGAAGCGGTGTGTGTTGGTAAGGAGCTCGGGGTAAGCTCCGCTCTGCTGGGAACTGCCCCGCGGAGGGGAAGGGGCCGGAGCCGCGTGGGCAGCCACGGCCTGGCCACCCACGTGGAGGCTGCGTGCGGCCCCGCCCCGGCCCCGCCCCGCGGGATTCCCCGCCTGGCCCGGCCCCCAGCCCCCGGCAGCGCCCGGGACGCGGGGCTGGAGCCCCCGGCAGTGCCCGGGATGCGGACCTGCAGTGCCCGGGGTGCGGGGCTCTGGAGCCCCCGGCAGTGCCCGGGGTGCGGGGCTCTGGAGCCCCCGGCAGTGCCCGGGATGCGGGGCTGCAGTGCCCGGGATGCGGGGCTCTGGAGCCCCCGGCAGTGCCCGGGATGCGGGGCTGCAGTGCCCGGGATGCGGGGCTGGAGCCCCCGGCACCGCGGTCGCCGTGTGAGGACGCCGTGCTGCGCGCTATGGCCGGGGGTGCGTTCAGCCCCGCTGGGCCGGGGACACCGCTGGGCCGCGCCTGCCCTTGAGCTCCGCTGTCCCGCGCCACGAGTGTCCCCCAGCGGTGCCCTCGCGTGGCTCCTTGTCCCCGACACCGCCCTGCTTTGCCTGTGCCCGTGCAGCCTCTCGGGCCTCTGCCCTGTCCTGGGGGTGCCCCTGGGCATGGAGCGGCCCCGGGTGGCACAGCCACCTCCCTGCCCGCGCTCCTCGGCTGCTGTGAGTCCCCGTGCGGTGCTCGCTGTGCCGGCTGTCCTGTGCTGTGATTGTCCCCAGGCCGTGCCTTTCTGTGCCTCCTGGCCCTCCTGTGGCTGCGGGGGTGTCCCTTGCCACCGCGGGCTGTGTCGCGCCGGGTCCTGCCCGGTGCCGTGCGCTCCCTCCCGGCAGTGCCCTCCTCCCGCCAGGGAATGGCCGGCGCTCTCCGCTTGGCGACCGGCGCACCCCGCGTCCATCGCCGTGACCTTCCTCCCCCCGCGCCGTCCGTGTCTGTTTGTCTTTCCAGCCCACTCATCGCCGGCCAGTCACGGGGTGTTGACTCTGCGCATTCCTTCCCTGCCGAGCCCGCCGCCGCCGCTCCTTACGCGGGGCTGACGCTGCCGTCCCGCTCCGGGACCGCTCTGCTGGGCTCCAGCTGCTGATAAATTCGGGGACTTTGAGGAAGTGGTGACCCTGGGTGACCGGCACCGCTTGGGAACGGAGGTGTGGATTACCGCCGGTCCTGACTTGGGGATAAAAGCTTCAAGGTCTCAGTTCTCCCCAGACAGCTCCAGGACTCACCCTGAGCACACCAGCTCCATGGCATCAGCGTGGTCCTGCTGGCTCCTCCTGCTGCTCCCGCCTGCCCTGACCCACGCTGGGGGGCCCGGTCCTGTCCTCGTCAACCGCCCCTTTGTCACCATCTGGAACATTCCCACTGAGAGCTGCGCCCAGGAGTACAATGTCACCCTCAGCCTGGAGGTCTTTGATGTGTTGGCCAATGACCACGAGTCCTTCACCGGGCAGGACATCACCCTCTTCTACAGCGACAAGTTTGGTCTCTTCCCCTACTACACATCTGAGGGGGTGCCAGTGAATGGGGGGCTCCCCCAGAATGCCAGCCTGGAGGCTCACATCCACCAGGCCACCCAGGACATCAAGGTGACCCTGCCCAGCCCTGACTACGCTGGGCTGGCTGTCATTGACTGGGAGAAGTGGCGCCCACTGTGGATCCGCAACTGGGGCTCCATGGAGATCTACCAGCAGAAGTCAGAGGAGCTGGTGCAGCAGCAGCACCCGCAGTGGCCTCCCAAGGAGGTGGAGGAGATGGCCAAGCAGCAGTTTGAGAAGAGCGCCTGCGATTTCATGAACAGGACCCTGTGGCTGGGCGAGAGCCTCCGTCCCAGCGCCTACTGGGGCTACTACGGTTTCCCTGACTGCTACAACAATCACTTTGATTTGCCCTACAACGGGACGTGCCCAGATGTGGAGCAGCAGAGGAACAAGAACCTGTCCTGGCTCTGGAGGAGCAGCCGGGCGCTCTACCCCAGCATCTACCTGCCCCTGTGCCTCAATGGCACCAGCAAGGTTCTCCCCTACGTGCGGCACCGCGTGGCCGAGGCCTTCGCTGTCCAGCAGGGAGTCCTGGACAGAGCCATCCCCGTCCTGCCCTACTCCCAGATCGCCTTCGAGCACACTCTGCACTTCCTTTCCGAGGTGACGGGCATGTGGGGTTCGTGGGCACCTCTTGGGCTGATGGGCTGGCACCAGGGAGTCTTTATCTGTGCTGGGGCTGTGTGGGGGCTTTGGGCACTGCTGACTTCTCCTCTCCCCATGGGTGCAGGAGGACCTGGTGAACACCATTGGGGAGAGCGCGGCTCAGGGTGCTGCTGGCATCATCTTCTGGGGCAGCCTGGACTACAGCACCTCCAAGGTGAGTGCAGACGGTGGCATCAGCTCCCTGTCAGCAGGAACCCCCAGTTCCTCAGCTGTGCAGGGCTGTGACACCGAATGCCATTGCAGGAGATGTGCCTGAGGCTGAAGGACTACGTGGAGGGTCCCCTGGGCCACTACATTGTCAATGTGACAGCCAGTGCTGCCCTGTGCAGCCAGAGCCTGTGCTCCGGGCAGGGCCGCTGCGTGCGCCGGGACAAGCAGCAGGGCTACCTGCACCTGGACCCCTCCCGCTTCTCCATCGACCTGCACGCTGCCAAGCCCTGGCTGGTGACACAGAGCCTGGAGCCTGGGGAGGACATCTCCAAACTGGCCAAGGAGTTCAGCTGCCAGTGCTATGACAAGTGGCAGGGACCCCGCTGTGACACCCAGGGCTTGGACAAGTGACCCCCCACACAGTCCTCCCACTCTGGGGACACTGGGGCACCCAGGGTGACACTACCTCAGCACCCTTGCCATGGGGTTGAATACCTGATTCTTAATAAAACCAGGAAGCACCAGCAAGTGTCTCCTTGTCTTCTGCTGCAGCACGTTTTGGGGTGGCAGGGTCCTCCTGGGGCACCACTGCTGCCTTGTGGTGCTGCCAAGGGCTGTCCTTTGGGCTGGGAGCTTGGGAGGTAATGCCTCAGAGAAACCACAGGAAAAAAGAAAATTTATGGAAAAAGACATAGGAAGAGGGGATGGTGGGGGAAGAGGATGAGAAATGGAAGAATGATGGGGAATGGCCAAAGAGTGGAGGCAAAGGGGGTGAGAAGATGTGGTTGTGTGGCTGTAGTTGAAGGAGTGTGTGCTCCAATCCCTCACTGTGCACAGAGGAGTGGCCTGAAACCAATACCCCCACTCTGATTTTCCCCTGGATAACCCATATGCAAAGCAGTTAAGCCCACAAATGATATGCAAAACCACTGATTTCTGTAACTCAGGCCACAGATTAACTGTACCTATTTCAAAACAGTTAGGAGAAGGCATGAAACCCTGGCCCAGCTGAGATAAAGATGTTGGCATTTTCCTCTGGATGTTCATCTTGGGGTGGGGAAATCACATGCTCATTTCTCTGATTTTGAGCTCTAATTTAGGTAATCTCTCCTCTTTGGGACTGCACTGCATGGTACTCTGTGTGTACTGGAGACTTACAAACCTGCATCCTTAATTTTTAAGCTGGTTGGTGTAAACCATTGCAGAATTACTACATTTCTTACGTTCACTTTTGATTATTACATTGAGGAGGATCTGAAAAGATACCCCTGGAAACATAATTAGGCCTTTGGATTCCCTAGTCACAGCTTTCAGAAACATACACTCTGTTATTACCAAGCTCTTTGACAAGCTGGGGGCCCCTGAAAAAAATTAGTCATAATTGGATTTTGGCCCAGAATTAATAGTTTTATCTAATTCTTATAGAGATAGCTTGGTAAATGTATGTTAATATTGGAAACAATATTATCTTAGTATTTTTTGTATGTGAAATGTGATTTAACTTACATGAACACTCAAACACGCTCCTCCCAAGCTGGAGGAAATCTGATGTTTGCTCTGTATTAAATGCCGAAATTGAAAGCAAAGTTCACCTTGCTATTCACACAAAGAAAATTACCGTGAATTTCAAGTCTTCCTTATGCCTGGAAGGGATCAGAGCTGTGTGCTTGTAACTTGAGGTAATTTAATATGCTTCAAGTATTCAGCTACTGGTGCCTAATTGGGGGCTGGTCTGAGCTTCTCCTGGACAGTATTATCTCAATCCATTAACCAAAGTAAGCACTGAGGTTACTTCATCAGGAAAGAGGTGGGTTACTTCATCAGGAAAGAGGTGGGTTACCTCATCAGGAAAGAGACATTTCCTCAGGAGCTGCAGAGGCTCTGGCACTGTCAGAAGCCACAGAAGCCCTGCAGAAATCCTGTCTCCAGGTGTGGGCTTGGGGCTTTTCTTAAAGTAAAGGCAGGATGGAAAGTGACAAACTTCCCTTATTTCTTGAAACAGCTCCTTTTCTTGTTATTGAAATACTGCAAACTTAGGCATGAATGCAGTTTGCCACTTTCAAATAATAGCTTTGAATGTGTAAGAGGATTTGCTTTATTCATCCTACTTATTGTAGCTCTTCTTCTGTCCTTGCCCCTCACACTGTGTCTAAAACCACCCAAGACACTGGATTTCATGTACTTTAGCTTGTCTTGCTCCAGACTCTGAGGAATGGAGACTAAAAAGGCACTGCATGTGGTGCCAGCAGACAATGTGGAAGCACGGAACATCTGCTGGGTGTTTTTTTCCAGGTCTGAAAACCTGTCCCTGTGTGTGGCTGTGTGAGGCAGCCTGCCAGAGCCATCCCACATGGTTGGGGTGTGCTGGAGAGCAGCCAGCAGAGACCCAGGCACAGCAGAGACCCAGGCACGGCCCTTGTGTGGGCACAGCTCTGCCCCTGGGGATGTGCTCGGGGTGTTATCACAGCAGCTCCTGTTCTCCATGCTCTGGGGACTGACCAACCTGTTGTGGGCACAGCTTGCTTGTCCTCTGCATCACAGGCTTCACACTACATCAATTTCTAGGCTTTTTCCACGTGCTGCTCCAAGAAATGAGGGGAGATTGTCACTTAGAACTGTCCTTACATTCCCAGGTTTTTCATTTCAATGGCTCATTATTTTTTGTCTACATTGCTTAAGACTCATATCTCCACAAATAATCCCAAGTATTTACCATAGTTAACTATCCCAAACAGAGAAAATTTAACTGCCGAGGGCTCTGAAGACAGAATTATAATTTTACAATCTAGAATGAAGGTAACTGCAGTGAGGAGCCTTTAAATGCTTTGTTGTAACCAGGACATAAGTAGTTCAGCTGAAGGGTAAGGTCTAGATTAAGTCTTGCATAAAACAGATGGAAGGAAGCCCTTCCAAGGAATTCACAAGCTTCTCAGATACAAACAGGAAATTAGTGGCCTGTTATTTGCCTAATAAGAAAAGTTCTCATCTGCCTCATTCCCCTGACTAAATAACTCAGAGTGTGTGTAGAGACATTTCCCACATTGTTAGAAATCAGTTTAGTCTGACACTAAGACATTGTTTTCAGTTTTGCTTGGATTAACAGCTCACACCTATGGTTAGATGACCAAGGAGGTGATGTATTTGGGTTGTTTTAGGACCCCATTAGCTATCATTTGCAGTTGCATTTCACTTCATCCAACGATCTGGACTGAAGCCATAAAACCAAAATCAGGAGTATGTGTTGCAGATCCTTCCAGACCACTTCTGCATCTCTTCCAGCTGGATGCTGAGCTTCCCCTGTTATACAATACAAACCTTTCCTGGAAGAAATAAATCCTTCCCAAAAGCAGCTCACAGCAACTGTGTGGCGTGAAATTAAAGAGATGGCATGTGAGTCTCTAGAATGCCCTTTATTCCATCGGCAGTGCATGGGAGGCTGGTGGCACACAGGGCTGGTCACTCAGAGCTCAGGCTGCTCCCTGGGTGGCAGCTCAAGGGCAGAGAGGAGGGCTGGGGCAGGTTTTGGTCACTCAGTTTGGCTGCAGCTGCAGAAAGCCCCCTGACTCCCAAACACCCTGCTCTGCTGTGCCCAAAGCTCCCAGGTGAGCAGCTCAGCCAGCAGGAGCAGCTGAGGGCACGCAGAGAAACATGAGACCAGGAGGAGGAGGAGGCAGCAGCACAGAAACTGCCTCCAGTGACACTTGAGCCTGTGAGCAGCTTGAGGGGCTGCCCAGAGCAGCAGAGGTTTCACTGGCTCTGAATAAAGCACCCCCCATATGCCAGTAGCACTGGAAGTGTGCACAAGGCTGCACTGCTTTCCTGTTAATGCTTTTAACCAAACTTGCCACTTCTTTTTCACGTGCAGTGTCAAAGTTCACTTCTGATTATTGTTTCAAAAGTGAAACATCAGCTCCTACAGAAATAATTTCCAGAGCTTCAATGCCAGGCTCTGTATCCCAACCCCCTCAGTGTCACTCAGAGCAGAACCGACTTGAACACAAAATTTTCAAGCTACCAGTTACCTAAAGAGGAAGTGGCTCTTTCTTACAATGCCTTTGTATCTCTGTTTTGTTTGAAAATCACTCACTCCAAACCTTTTCCCTTGCTCAGGCATTTCTAGAAAAGAGGTGAAAAGGTTTGTAAAAAACAAACCATATTTAAGAAAGATCTAAAGTTGTCTTCAGGGGCCACGGACTCTGCTACTGCCCTGGACCTGACATCCCTTGTTTCCGAGAAGCAGCAGGAATATCAGCCTTCATTCCTCTGATTCACCAGATTGCAATTTCAGAAGTTACTTGGAAACAGCAAAAGTGAGCCCTGAAGCACCGTTTGTGGGCTCCCAGGGAGTCTTTAAACATCCAGCACAAACAGCAGACCTGGCTTTATGCTGTACAAACAAAAATGCCTCTGAGCTGGAGAACGTGTCCCACTTTGTTCCAGAGCTTTCTGAATCTGAATTTCAGAGCCATTCCTGGGGCTGGGCAGCAGAGCAGCACTTCCACCACAAGAATGTGGGCGCAGCTGCAGCTCCTTTGTTGTGAGAGCTCCGGGCCAGCCTGGGCAAGGCTGGGCTGGGGGTGCAAGGGCTTCCAGGTTTTCTGCTCGAGAAAAGTCTAGCTTGTGTTTTTCACTGCTGGTGGGACTCTCAGAGGCAGAACATTCGTTCCATTTGCAGCATCTCCGCTGCTCTGATTTGGCAGCAGCTTCCCTCCTGGTTATTTTCCACCCTGGGGCTCTGAAACAGGCTGAGCAGTGTCCTGTGCTGGCATTAGTAAATCAGCAGGAGCGTTATCAACAGCCTGAGGAGGTCACAGGGAGGCCCTGGGAGTGCTTCCAGTGAAGCTGCTGGCTTGCACTGTATAGAACACCTTGTAAACTCATTTTCCTCCAGTAATATGTTAAGCACGAAGCCATATAGCGCTCCAAACTGCTCTAATCTGCTGGTGCAGACTGCAAGCAAACACCAAATCATATAGCAAAACATTTTGTGGGAACTGTCCTGCATTTGACTGTAACTTCTCAAGAGGAAAGATTTGATTTGACAGGTTACTGGTCCTATTCCCCAATTAAGACATAAACAGTTGTAATCCTCTGTGCTGTTGGGCAGAGTTCAAGGTTAGTTCTAGCAAAAACAAACCAAGCTAGAACTGAAGCAGAGGGGAAAAAAAACACAAAACAAAACCCAAAATTTGGAGGCAGAACCTGCCCACAGTGCAAAGCCTATATTCTTTATTATCTTATTTGTTTTAATACACACCAGCTGATACCTGCACACAGCAGATACCAGCTGAGATAACAGGCAGGGAGTTCAATATTTAAGGCTTGGCTTTTCTCACCATAGCAACAAATCTGTGAGGAGAGTGAGAGGACATGGCTGGCTGGCAGCATGCAGCCCAGCTGGCTGCAGTGGGCAGGCAGCCTGAG